TTTGTAAAATAACGCTACCATAACTGGAGTCTACACAGGCTGTGAGGCTCTCTACATAGTGGTGCATGAGCTAAATGCTAACCCTGCTGAAAAAAACAGCATAGACCAGGATGGAAATCATGCTGCTTAGTGCTGGTCGGGTACACGTTTTAGCTGGTATATACCAGCATAGCTCTTGTTGGGAGACTAGCACCAACCAGCATAGACCGGCAACACCGGGATGCTAACATGCATGATAAAACTAATATGCCAATGTTATGCAGGTATAATGCTGTTTATTGTGTTCACCATCTCAATTTAGTGCATTAACATGCTAACTTGCATGCAAATTAGCACTAAACCCCCTAAAGTAGCTGGGGCTGATGAGAATACATACAGTTTGAGGGTATTTAGCCATAAACCAAGTTAATTCAAATGCTGACCTGGTGTTGACACTAGATAAAAAACCAGGGGATCACCAAGGGTGTTGTAATTTAACATGGATATTTGAATTTCATGGTCAATAGCTATTGAATATGTGACTCAGAACCAGATGACAATCATTGGTGGTGCTACAGAAAGAGGCAGGGGATCACCAAAGTTAGTACATCTCACCCTCTGGGTACCAGTAATGTCTGTACAAAATTTCATGGCAGTCTATCCAATAGTTATGAGCTATTTCAGTCAGAACCAGCGACATTGCCGTAGAGAGCTACGCAGCCTGTAGTATTACTGAAAATAGTACCATGCAGTAAATTATTAACTATCAGTATAAGACATTGTAGATAGGTACCCATATTGTCTCTGACAGTAAAGGTCTTATTAAATGGAAATAATAAAACTATATTTCATCAAAGTTTATTGTTGTCTTTTAGTGGACAAGTGTGACGGATAATAAAGCTGGTGGAAGAAATGACACAAGCTGAACACCAAGGATGAATAAAAGACAAGAGGATGTAGAAGAAAAGCACCAGCAGTATAAAACTTCAAATATTTTGAGTCATTGTCCTTCTTACAATCTTATTCAACTTAGTGAAGCACATAAAGACCCCAGTGAGACAGAGAAACACAGGACTGCTCCTCACATGCTGAATGGCTTGAGACCAAGGTGTATCACTGGAAATACTGTATACTCATTTGATTGTTTGCAACAAAATGTGATGCTCCTCACTGATCAGAGTCCTGTTGGACATCCAGCTGCTTCATGCTGCTTTGAAATCACAGAACATGGCCTACCTTCTTATTCAGTGCAGCGACATGATAAACACCCTGGTGTCTGGTATGCAGCAGTTCACATTTATTTTAGTCTTTTTTGGGAAGCAACCAGCCTATCTCCTAAAAAAGGTACACAATATAGCAAGGCCGGCTGGTGGACTGTTGTAAAATGAATGCTGCTTATGTTTCTTGAACACATATTCAAAGTAAATTGTCCAGTTAGAAAGGAAGAAAGGCTTTAGTCGGTTTGAGGACAGTGGACATCCACTCAGCTTGTGGGTGGTACAGTGTCTGAAAGATGAGTATATATCTGCTACAGCTGGATGCCTCCACTTGTGCCTGATGACTGTTTTGACAGTTCAGTAATAGCTCCTGTTGACAGTCAAGGCAGCCCTCCAAAAGTGAAAGCGATTCACCCTGTGCTATTCACAGTAACATCCCCTTTCACAGTATTTGATTCTTAAATAAGATGATTTAGAAGCCCTGGGAGCCCAGCTGAACAAGGGAAAACAATTAATCTGGAAAGGGAAGTGCATGCTTTAATTGAACCCTGATGGAGTGTTTTGCTTTGGCGAAGGGCATCTTTTCAAGCATCAAGGGGTCCTTCCATTACATCTGTGTAATTTGTTATAGTGGCTCGAGATAATTTTCAGAAAGGAGAAAGAGTGAACCATGCACACTTGCACCTTTCTGATGCTGTTTTAAAATGAAATTAGTAGGACTATCTATATACAGTATGTGTAAATGCTACATGTACTAGGGTTGTCACTTTGAATGAATTGCAACTGGCACATTTATTTGTTTGAGCTAATTAGAACGCAACCCACAAAGTGTATTGCTATACTAAATTATTCAATTGACCCAGCTTTTAGGTCAGCATGCAAATAGGCCTTTTCCACTATGAGAACTTACCCACACGCAACTAACCTTATACGTGTTCTGGCTTCTGCTTTTGTTGCCTGCTCTGGAACTCTGGGAGCTTTGTTTCAGCACCCCTTCAGGACTCAGTTTCAGGCCCACGTTCAAAGGAAAGTACGAATTTTGAAACGCAAGCCCCAACATTTATATACTGTATGAAACTGTGAATACTGCGATGCTTCTGATGTCACCAAACTCAATTCAAATGAGCAGGACCAGGTGTAACAATTTAATGAAGCACAAAGATCATTTATGGTGTGGTTTTTTTTATCTCTATTTTTCAAACGGCACTGATGAGACCTCCATTTATCAGTAAAGTACATGCTGTCACAAGGTTAAAATAAAGTGCTGCTTACCAAATGGCATCAGGATACTACTGTAACTTCACTCATCCTGCCTACGCTGAGATTGATTCCTAAATCAGCAGTGTACTTACATAACCAGGGTCACCCGTTTTACCCTCTGTGAAATAGAAAGCCCTTTATAAAATGCTCATATTGTGTGTTGTTATATTTTTTCCACCCATCTGCTAATTATATCAAAAACAATAAACCCCAACCCATTGTGCTGTGTCTGGGTGTGGAACAGATTAGAAGGGTTTAAAAACACTGAAATTGACAAAACACCTGGTTTTTATCCTTCTGGTAATCTCCTAAAACCTAACCCCAGCTCACCACACCATGTAATGTCTCTGCTGAACAACGGGCCATGACAGATTCTGCTACAAGAGTTTACACGGGCACATAGCAGCATATTTCACAATATTTGTTCAGGAATTTAAACGTTAACCATAGTGAAAACATTTTAAAGTTTGCTAAATACAAAAGGTCAGTAACAGAGTGGTGCATTACGGTACAGTGCTCTCTTAGTCAAACAGATTTTTCTAAATCCCTGAGAGTATAATGGTGACATAACACAATGCTGTCAAAGAGCTCATCTGTTCCAGTTTCATGCGTGGCTGCCTGTTTGATTTTAGATTTCCACCTTTTTTGTCTGAGAATTTACATTCAGGTTGCACAACAATATTAGTCTCCTCATGCTTGAAAGGAGTCAAGTTTTAATTAAGGATTTAGAAATAATCAAAGGCTTCTCCTCTAGAGACATGTTCTCCTTTGTCAGACGCGCAGCTACTGACACCTTCTCTTTCACATTTTATGAAGGATAACATGTAATCCTTTTTCATCTCGATACAGTCCTTAGTCCCACCCACTGCGTGGATTTAACTTCAATCTCAAAACTTCATGGATACTTGGGTGTAAAGAAATGGTTTCTTTTGAGGCCTTTGACAGGTTTTAAATATCCCTTCAGCCCCAGTATCTCATATGATCTTTTTGGTCCTTCATGTGATTGACTTAATGTTCTCACACACACTTATATGTGGCAGTGCAAGCAAGTCCTTCTTCAGCATCTTGTTTCTGCTGTTACAGAGTTAACATTGGAAGCATGGTGTACTGAATTAAAAGAGTTTTACAAAGTAATGCCCCCCTTTGAGTTTAGAATCAGATTTTGTGGCTGTGTTTATTCTGCAGTGTTTAAAGTGCTTTGCTGCATGCAGTCATAGAGATGCAGTCTTTGAAAAGTGGCCCGATTGCTGTTTGTTTTTGGTTTGGTGACACTCCAGATTTCTGTACTTCACTGTTTGCCAGATAAGCAGAGTGCAGATAAATAGTCATTGTCTTTCACTGCCAGATGAATGCAACAGGTTTGTATGACATAGTGATGCATATGATGGATGCAGGCGGTTTTCTGCTTGGTTAAATTTTTAAATGGTTACTGAAAGCTAGTGCTCAGAAACTTTCGCTGTTTTTCTGTTTTTTTTTTTTTTTTTGGTGTTGGAACAGTGGTTAGCACGGTCACTTCAGAGCAAGACCAGGGCTCGAACCTACCGGCCAGCTGGGGCCTTTCTGTGTGGAGTTTGGATCTTCTCCCTGTGCCTGCGTGGGTTTCTTCAGCTGCTCCAGCTTCCTCCCACAGTCTAAAGACATGCTGGTTAGAGTACATGCAGACTTTACATTGCCTGTAGGTCTGAATGTGAGTGTGAATGGTTCTGTCTCTGTGTGTGTCAGCCCTGTGATAGACTGGATACCTGTCCGGGGTGTAACCTGCCTCTCACTCAGTGTCAGCTGGGATTGGATACAG